ACTCGGCATAGGCAGCGAAGCACTTTGGAATTACTTAAGCCCATTAGGCCAGCTCCATTTCATGGCGTAGTCGAGCAGCACACAGCTGTGGTTTACAGGGCGTTGCGATCTCTGAGGTTGCCTGCCTATATTTCCATCAGCATCTGATTTGCGTGTGCATCAGCCAATGTGTAGCTAATCAAACTAAGTGGCCTCACCTTTTTAATCTACCACACAGAACTTGGAATAAGACGAAAGCAAATCTGCCAAGTAGGATTTGAAGTAATCCCAAGTGGATTACAAGCCACTTTCAGTAGAAATGATATAAGGTGCATTTAAATAAATGAATAAAGGTATATTCTGAGGGTTACACGAGGCAACCCAACAAGGCATGAGCAGAAGATCAACAAGCCAATCTGCGACGATCAAAATGCGAGCAGTTTTGTCTTGACATTAAGAGTGAGCTGCTGAGTGCATTTCAAGCGATGATAAGTTTGTGCTAACTGTGCGACAACACAATTGATTCTGTGTTGAAACTACTTGTGCATACAACCGCAAATGTGTTATTAATCAAGTTATGTGATACAGGAATTTGATCCATGTAGATGCTGTTCAGGCCGGAAGCTGGTCTATTGCGCTGTTGAATGCAGTCGTCTGCTGTCCATTTTCCATCCTCTGGCGTATGATGCGTGCTATTATGGCCGCCCTGGGTTTGCATCTTGTCCAGTTGAGCGATGTGTTCCTTAGGAAGGTAAGTATCAGGTTCACTAATTTTTGCACCATCCAGTGGTTGTAGAGTTGCTCAATTCCAGAAGTAGCTGTGGGAAAGTTGGGAGGTGCCACAATGGACAACATTAATCCAAAAAGAATTGCCATGCAAACGCACGCAAAGAAATGAATGGGATGCAACTGAACACTGAAAGTTGAAACGCTTTACACACTGTGAATTTGTCGTTATATAGGTTCCATAAACGTGTTACTCGTGTGGATAAAGGATGGGAAATCATGGGGTTTCGCGGTGAGGTTGGCGGCCCGTTAGCAACTGTTTACAGCTATAGCGCTGCGTCGCGCGTGGTTCTTAATTCAAACAGCTTTGCGAGTTGAAGTTGGTACACGCAAGTTAACTGCCGGAAGGTCGGTAGTCAGTTAGGCCGTGAATACGGGTAAGCAGATTAGGAACGTCAATAGCTACACTACTAGCGCCCTGCGCGGAGGTAATGGGTGGGCAGTAGCAAGCGGGGCGTAGGTTTGCTGAAACGATTAGAAACGAGGGAGGCGGGTAGGTAAAGTTTAGTTAGTGAATGAGTTGCAGTCTGAGTGGCCATTTATAGCAAGGAGCCTAAGCTGAAGAACCAGGTAAATGGAAAGTGGACGTTAGATCTTTAAAGGCCAGTGCGCTGCGACACGCGTTGTACGTAGGTCCTGGATGATGGGGATAAGATGTAATTTCGCTTAGGGAGTGAGCAGACGGTAGAGCGTAAGATAGATTGGCGAGGTATAGGTCCACATTTGCGTGGCTATGGCGCTTTATTACGCGGTTATTAAATCTAACAGGGTAGCGAAATGAGGTTAGAAGAGCTGGGGAAATGCACGGAAAGTAGGTGGTATGCTGAGCGCCAACTTATGGTGAAGATCAAGGGCAGTGAAGGTAGGTAAGTGCAAGGTTAGGGGAAAGAGAAGCAGCAAATTTTAACGACGGCAAACGGTCGAGCTAATTATCTGTGGAGCAACGAAGTAGGAAGTGAACGACGGAAACTACATGGCTAGAGCGCACCGTCATATTTTGTGAGTGCCGTTATCGTGGACCAGAGAGAGTGGGCTATAACCAAGTTGAAGATGAGGGCCGATAAGGGAGGAAAACCCATTACAGCGGTGTAACGGACTTTGGTGCAGTATTACGTGACCTTAATCATGTTCGCGGGAAAGTTGTACTCTGTACACAACCGCGTCAGGCCAGTTCCACACCAACATACACAGCTTTAATGATCTCAGTAATTCTTATATTCAAACCTCGCACGCTACGAGGATAAAATTCATTCAAGCGTTGGGCCGGTTGATCAAACAAAACGCATCAAGCGAAGACATTTCTATCCGTTTTCATCGCGCGCTGTAAGTACTTTGAGGGCCACCATGAGTTGCAGTCTGTCAGCCAAAAGACTCTTCTTATTAGTACCAAAAACGCAGAAGCGCTTGGTGCTTATCTCGGGTCCAAAGAATCTTTCGCATATATTTTAGGCGCAACTAGTCTGCTTCGTTACCTGTGTCGCTGAACCCCAGTGCATACTCGCGTATTGTTATCCTTACAGCAACCCATGGCAAAAAAGAAGTAGTCTATTTGACTATCCGTGACCAGCATTTAAACGGAGATATTTCTATCTGCTATAGCGGAAGTTGGCCCAGATTTGTCCCCGACACACGGTTATTTGTGTCACGTCAGGTTGGGTGCCGAGTATCAAAGATGGCGTTAATTAGTTTGCATTTGAGAGCAGCAGTATTAGCTAATACTTAGACAAAATGCTAGGGCATTGGAGGGTTTATGCTTGTGGACTAGTGTTTGCAGCGTTAAATTTAGAAGGGTACCAATGTTTGCAAAGCTGCTAGACGTATAATGTACTGCAAGTCGCAGATTAGAGAAGAGAAAATTGCTTTACAGCACCGCAGTAGCCAGTTGTATGATCTACAAAACTTCAGCCCAAATTGGCAGCAGTGTTCCATGACGTAGTATGTATTGTCGAGCAAGCGTTCTCACTATAAAAAGCCACAAATTTCCGTTTACCAACACGGCGACATGGCGGATGTGACTCAGCAGAAACCAACCTCCTTGCTCCTGTTTATCCGGATAACCACATCCAATCCACGGGGTTAAAACACCTCTTCCCACATGGATAAGGCGAGTAAGTCGTGAAGGATGCAGCGGTACATACACAAATCCAAGAGCTACATTCATGTTTGGCGGTACCGGGTTCCGGATTTACTGGTCATTTTGACCGCCATTAGGCCGCCACAAGATGCATGCGCCTACAGAGCGACACCGGGTGGTTTGCGCTGCACCACCCGCAACCCCAACCACACACCCCATATCCAGCATAAACCCGAATTAAGATCGGTGGTAGGTAAATGGGAGCTCCATTTCTGCAACGGAGTCAGTCCAGCCTCCTTCACAGGCAACGAAAATCACGCTGTATTTGGGGAATCAAGCACACACAAGGCGGTGGGTGGAATGTAACCCGCTCCAAACTTGACGGGACCACTTACCTCGCTTAGTACGGTCGCGAGGGCCGTGCAGACCGTCCCAAGCAATGCTTCACGGAATTCTGAGCTCAGTAAACGAAGTGGAAGTTACTTGATTTATAGGCACCTTGGCGACATCCACTTCTAGCGCAGCCACACCTGCGATAACAAAGTTTACATAGAAGCTAAAGAAATGATAATACGAGAACTTGACAGAAAATGCATCAGAATGACAGCATGGAACAAAACAGAAAAATGAAATAATTTTGGTCCACATTAAATAGTCGTAGATTGAGTAAACCGGTTTGGCTCATCTACGGTGAAGCAGCATGCTGAATGTAACATCAACATCAGCATAAGGCACAGTTACACATATACAACTATACGTACATATAAACACTTACACTTATATATTTCCGGCCATGGCAACCATGTATATTATACGTTTTTTAAACACCCGTCTTCATGTTGTCAATCTCATGCTTGAGTAGGTGGGCCCGGCGACGTTGAGAAGAAACTATTTATTCAGTTATTTTCCCGTCAACTTGCAGTTGTCCTTTTAGTCAATGGCACCTATGGTATTATTTCCACATCCACAGGGGCAATCGCTCGCTTCCTGCTGGTCACATGTCGCAAACTCTTCGTTCACAACAACTCACAATTGCAATATGACATATTACCATTGTACCGCCCCTATTATCTTTTATGTTTGATTTCATTGATGGTCAGTTGTTTAGTATTCCTCTTTGCTTTAATCTCCCTTACATTACGGCCATGTTGTCATACATTCGGCTCGTCAATCGACTGTCCCGTAAGTTCCCGCGCTAAAGTGTTGCCAATATATCGCTTCATCTGTCTACGGCTTTTGTAGCCCATCGAACTAAGTCTGTTGTGTTTGACCTTAACTGCCTTCAGACATCCGGGCTTGCTTTCGTGAAATGTCCCGGACTAGTATTTCCTAGTTCTATTCCATTCAACTGAAAACAGTAGCAAATCAAACAGCTTACATGCCTTTATGGGAAGCAAAAGTTATTACTCACTGGACAAGATTAAACTACCCAATAAACGTGCCTGTAGGATTCCGTTCACGGACGCTATTTTATCTGGCTGTACAGACCGAAGTACTGTGATTTGTGCATTCCTTTGGTACTTAAGAAAGACCTGCTATTTTCTGCAAAGTTATGGTGCGACAGATGAATATTTCTTGATGTATAATGTCTGCAGCATGAAAGAACACAATAAATAAAGCTGCACGGTGGTAACTTGGAATATGATACATGCTCCATAAGTACAGCTTTCAACCATAAACTCAACTTGTTCGCCCATGTTACGTACGCTTTTAATACCTTGAATGATATGCAAACCCAAAAAGCAATTAGGTGCACTTCCTTTCACTTAGGACATCCAGTACTGCGATTATTGTTGGTATATGTTTTAATGGGCTATCTCATATAATGTTATATCTGAATCCGCATTTAAATTGTTGCTTCCTCGGCAGCCATTTTGCTTTCCGATTGTGGTCGTTCTCAGTTCCTTCTATTGCGTTTTTAGTGTCATTTATCTCTCTGTGTTTGCATTATGCATTCGCATGCCTGGTTATTTATTGTATCTGCGCACTACACCTTGTGCCCTTCAGGAAGACCTTCCCGTGGCCCGAAGGTCATCTGTGGAAGGTCGTGGCCTAGTCTACTTGTGGTCGGCTTGGCTTGTATCCCTGAAGCATGATTGTTCACGTGCATATTGGGATCAGCCATCTCCTTATACTATTCGTTTTCAGCAAGTTCTGATCAATGACAAGTGAATTTCGTGTATCCGAATCTGCTGAGACTTCTAAACTTAGTCCAAAGGATTCCGGCATTATATCAGACGCAAACCAAATTTCTCACTCTGCTAACTCCAGTTCAGAACCTTCAAGTAGCTTTGCTAACGCAACCCATGTCACTATTCAACTGCCTGATGGAATGCAAGGGTCCACACTTAGCCAACAGAAGTTACAGGAGTTAATTTTGCAACTTTCACAAAGTGGCCAGATTGAGCTCCGCGAGGACAGCAAAATCGTGATCGATGTACGTGTTTCAGTTACTTGGTCGCCTCTTTAACTATGATCATTTCACGTTTAGCTGGTACTGCTTGACTTTCACTAGTCACCGCCAACAATACCTTGTCCCTGTTACGTTTATATATTACCGAATCAATTATGTTCCTACTTCGTATCGTTAGAGCAGCAGTCGAAGTGTCTTTACAGGTGTTCTCGCTTACCTTCTCCGTGGTTTTATCTAAATTCCAGTCCTGTGATTGCCACTGGAACTATTGCAGGAAATATTCGTTGTCCATTTGCTCAACGTTTGATGTTGGTTAATCTTTGATGCTAACTTGACATTCTAACGGTTTTCATGCTTTTGGAATATGTCAGTTAAAGTGGACAAAACCTGCTTTGGAGCTTCAGCAGCGGTACGCCAACTCTGCTGTGCCATGTTTGACCTTTTCTGATCCGGCGCTCTACCAGCGTTGCTAACTTCGAGCGGACGGATGCTTATGATTCGTCATCAATTCTTGTAATATGGAAGATCTGTAGCGCATAACCTTTGCCGACGCAGCCCGATTGCCGTCAGTCCTTATAGTACGGGTATCAGCCTACTGATCTATTTCCGTCCGATTTTAATCCGTTGATAGTCCGAAATCCGCCCAAAGAAATCTAAGACGGAACAAATCTCGGATGGAACATATTGGTTATACCTAACAGTGCTCAATTTATATCCTCACCAGTCATATTCCTTATGCATTTCTGCATCTGCAGCGCTTACTGCTAATGGAACCCACGGAACTCTGACAGTAGCACAGAACACTGTATTCCATAGATAGGAAACATTTTCTAGATTATTCTAAGGCGATCATGACTGTAACGTACTTGGCAATGCTCGTCATGTTTTCGCATATAACTAACGGATTTTAACGACGTAGTCCTACATACCGATTTCACTCTGACACCAGGACAATTGGTACCCTAGGTTCACCCGAATGTACTCCTTATGACATTTTCTCTAACTCATCAAACGATCAGGAAATGATCCGCGGCTGTTCGTTACACCGGTTCTTATTCCTTTTCCTTATGTATTTCACCTTTCGAGCTAACTACCATGGCATACTTGTTCAGAGTTAGGCTTCCGCTTAACGAGTTTCCTGCTTCTTAAGCCGGTAAGTGAATCAGGGAATCAGGCACTGCGACTTTTGATCGCTTCTCCTTGCTTTTGCCTAAAGAAATGGAGCGAGAACGAGAGAAATCTTTGTATTTTCATGTCTCAACATTCATGGTCTCGCTGCTAAATTGCAGTACAATTATCTCAGTTTTGGAAATATATATGACCACCACTACAGTTTCCAGTTTATTAACTCAGAGTAGTTTGTTCCAGTGACGTACCACATGGCTCGTACAAAACTTCGCCCTGATCTTCGATCCAACCCTCTGTTTGCTCTTCAAACTATGCCCACAACAACAATCTCAAGCAGATCAGTAATTTATGCCACATACCTTTTATCTTAAGCCTCTATCGGATCGCCTAAGTCGCTTCAGGGTAAACAGACCCAAGCTCTTTGGGCGATCTTCGTACGACTTCCCTTGTTGATCTTAAATCATCATGGTTGCTAGTTTTTGTATTTTTTTCCATGCAACTAACATCACCACGGAGATACGGTGACCATGCCTGAACACAATGCTCCCTATGTGGTCTAACCACTGCTTTCTACCTTGGCAGAAAGACTTCTGGCTTGGTGTTATCTAGTGCGAAGTAATACTTATCACTCTTTATTGGCAGCATGAAGTCACTGCACCGGTTTGAAACTACTCACCACGGTGACACCCAAATCACATGCATAGTTAATACTCTCCAAGGAGAAAGACTCGGGGGAAATCTGCATTGCAATCCGGTCGCCATTAGTAGTCAATAGTTGAAATTTGTTAGCATACTGGGGCAAATCTCGTTTATTCGACCAATTAACCACGCTGTTGGTATCTTTGGTCTGTGTTGGTTGGTTGCCCTGCAAATATATGGTAAGGGTATTCAAGTAGGCCTAGTGCCGAACCATGGGTGACGCCACTGTAAACAATGCCTATACCGGAATTCATTGATTTCGTGCATTCGCCTGATAACTACGTTTCATACACTTTTTAGGTAAACCCACCTCTCGTTCAATAGTTCTAAATGCTTAAAAGCGGTGATTTAATTTTTCTTCATGATTTCCGATTTCCGCAGAGATACCCTGACTCCACTCCATTCACTCATTATACCCGTTAGTTGGAGGTGGAAAACGCCGCTATGGGGCCGCAGTACATAAGAAAAGAAGAAAAGTATGCAACAAAGACGTGCCAACTGAGTTACCAGCAACAAATGGGCATCGTTCGTAGAGCTACCAGCCGGCTATTGTGCCCATGAAATGCGATCATGGTTGGTGGATGCTAAGCTAGAGGGGAGGCACACAGAAACTCACAACACATGCGCCGCTGAGATCCGCTCCTATGCACACCAACAAGTCTATTCAACCAAACATGTTGCTTGTCTTTCGAATCCCAACCAAGTATATATATATATATATATATATATATATATATATATATATATATATATATAGCCTATAAATGGATATCGAACCATCGAAAAACCATGAAAAGCAAAGTAAAAGAGAGTACAAATTTGGGCTTTTCAGCCTTTTCTTGATTTCGTCTTCACACGCCATTCTGTTCTTTTCGTTTCGTTTGGTATAGCTTTCATCACGTTGTTCAGCACACTTAACTGTACTTTTCTTTCGTTGCTTCTGATTTCGCGCCATATCAGCAAGTTTGACGTGCCATTAGCAATCCTCATTCTTGGGCCCTCAATCAGGGAGACGTACAGGGCCGACGATGGCGAGACAGGTGGTCAGCGATTTCATACTTTGCTGCCAAGTGGTTGCCTGACATCCGCGAGTGATAACCGCTCGTATGACATGTGTAGGACTTAGCAATCCACCACAGTTGACGCATTGCAACCGGGCGACTAAATAGAAAGCTCATGTCTCGATGCCATACTTCATCGTTGCGAACCCGGTACTGCCACCACACGGGCTTTCTTCCGCAAACATATATTGTCGAGGACCGGAAGTCGACGCATGTCCTCATCGTTTGACCACTTCTCTTTTCCACCCACATCCCAGTGCACAAACAATGCACGTCTCGGTAGTCGATGTGCTGGCATGCTCAGCACATATCCCAGCTATCGGAGCCTGGTGCGTAATATAACGGTGCTTATCGGCTCACTTCCTCTTCCTGTGCCATAAACAAGACATCGGTCACGCTCATTGCTCACCCTGTCTCCACCATATATGAGCCAAACTGCGAAGGTAGCGATTACCGAATGTAACTAGCCTCTTTTTGTCTGCTGATCCAACGAGCCACATTTCCGAACCGTACACGAGGGTTGAGTGGACAGCTACGTACACTCTACTCCTTGGGGAGAGAGTGATTTCGCGCCGGCGCCATAGGTAACAAACGTTAGCAAAAGCGCCTCGAGCTTTTGCTATACGGTTTGTGACCTCATCCTCGATTCCACAGGCGCTGATACAACTGTCTGCTTAGTTGAATTTCTGAACGGCTTCTAGCTGATCACCAAGTGTCAGTGCAGGCGATGTCTGCTAATCTTGGAGGAAAGCTGCAAAGCGAAGTCTGAATCGGCTGACAGGCAGTGCTAATCTCTCTAGTGCTCTTTGGCACATTTGGGCGCTGTCAACGATGAAGGCAATGTCCTCAGCACACTCCAAGTCAAGAAGTGGTTCACCTGGCAGCAGCTGCACAGCTAACTCGTATTCAGTGAACCCCATCCCCATGACTTCGTCAATAGCGAATTTGAAGAGGCAGAGTGACAACAGGCATACTTATATTACACCGCTGAAGATATTGAATGGCGGCGACAGCTTGCCGTAAGCCGCCGCTCTGCCCCAGCTACGTGCGTACAGCGCCCAGATGTTATTTACATATTTCTCGGGCACAACTTTTCTGTGTAGACAGTCTCAAAGGGCACCTCGATCAACGGAATCGAAAGCCTTTTTATGTCTAGGAAAACAGCAACAACGAGTCGCCTATAGGTGTGACATTGCTCCAATAATACGTAAAGTGAACATGTAGTCGATGCAGCCCCGGCTTCTACAAAACTCGGTTTTCTCCTCATGAATCTGGCTTTCACAAACGCCGGTCTGTCTGTGAGGAATGACAGAGGCAAACAATTTGGTGGTAATGAAGATCAGATAGATTCCTCTTTGTTGTCTTCCGAACATGGGTCTCTTGAAAATTGGGATAATAACGGAGCGGCTCCAGTTGGTTGGGACAGTTTCCTACTCCCACATTTTTACTAATACTTCGTGTAAATCAGCAACAAAAGCAGGTCCCCCGAATTTGAAAAAGCCTTAATGAAGACCATCTGGTCAACTGGCCTTATACAACTTCAGCGGTCCGATCTCACGTTTGACTTTTGAGCGAGCGAGTGAATTTAAACGGACCGCCCAGGGAGCAGAGCGACCACTTACCGGTAAGCAATCTAACCATTCCGGCCGATTAGATTGCCTTTCAAAAGTATTCATCCCGAAGCTCCAAGCGTTTTGACACGTTTTTGATACGCTTTCCATTCTCGCCACAAATGGTTCCACCAACAATAGGTCTGCTGCTGTCAGTATTTCATATCGGACGGATTAACTTCCGATGGTTACCAAGCGCACAATGAGACCGCTAGAATTCTCGGTTCCTCTTCAGGCTAGCACGGAGTTTTGCGCTGAGATCTTTGCGAGTCTCCTTGTGTTCGCTTTCACCCGGAATGCGCCGTCGAGCACCGATAAGTTCCGGAGACTACGAGGATACACAATATCCATGTTGGCTATTAGATTTACCACCTGAGGATTTAGCTGCTGGTAGTAAGGACTGGTGCACATTCGACCAGTGAGGGCTTATTCAACCTGGATGACAGCTTACTCAGATACGCATTCAGAACCTATGGCTTCTGCAGTTGGCTGGTGTCTAGGCGCTCAAAGGGTAGTTGAAGGGATCCGCCAAAACTCACTCGCAAATCGTCACATACAAGTGCAAGGTCACTGTCCACACGTGCTCCAAGTCGATCGACAGTTTTGAACGCCGCCTCTCCAGCGGAAACTGACGACCAAACTGGTTGCCATTGGTCCGTCTCGCCTTCCGAACTGGAGTCCACGTGACTCGCTTTGTGCTTGGCTCAAGACTTGACAGGGCATGGCTCGCAACCGACACCAGGGGCGCGTATGCTGCCGTCTCTTAATCGGACTGCCTGTTTAAAGTGTGTTTGGTGCTGAGTTATCTGCGGGGTAATGGCTGATTATGACGCGTGGCAGTAAAAGCCGCAAGGAAACTGTTTCGCCGATGCCGCCTTATCTTTGCACGATAGTCAGCTGTTTGTGACGGTTTGTTGTCTACACAAGATGTAGGTGCCTTGACCCTGAATGTTTGCTTAGGGCACTAAGGTTTTCAGGTAAGTCCCTCTTCTCTCCCTCTTATTATTCTTTATTGCATAGGTCATTGTGGTAGTATGGCAGCGAAGTATCAGTTCAAATGACCGATGTACTGCTGTTGATGATGATGAGCGTAAACTAATGTCAATGTGGTCAATTTGCGTCCATTAATATGCGCGCACATGTGGCCGTTTTATAGGTCCTAACGATCCGGGTTGAGCACCTTCTGGAATATCGTTCTGTATTCTACCGCTACGCCCGTCGTATGCATTTTCGAGCACTGCATATCCCCTCCACAATCTGTTGGGTCATAGACATCTGTTTGAACTTGGAACCAAATCTGGCGGAACTGAATCCCAAAGTGCCTAAGGGCCGTCACTTCCCATAGCCTGGGGCTCTTCGTTGACAGACCCTCTTATTACAACATTTCTTCGTCCAGGCGATCAGCCGAATTCTCGAGGCCCGCGTAGTGATTTCGGTGTAGGGCACTCCATATAGATTACAGCATCTACTTTTATCGCGTTGCCCTAATTCACTGTCTTAGCAACTATAGGATATTCCTATGCATTAAAAATGGTTCACGTTCTTAATTGTCGATCCATCGGATACCTCGATTCGATGTCTTTCTAATTCATCAGCATTTCTGTTTTGCTTTTGCGAATTTCTGTAATTTGTCATCACTGGTATCTCTTATGTAGCTCAAATTTAGCGGGAAGTCCGACGAATGTGCCGCATCACCCAAAGTTGAAAAGAAAGCAGAACTTGCCGAACCCTCGACCACCAGTACTCGAAACGTTGTTCTCCCGATAACTTCCCAAGGTCCAGTTTTACATGCAACTCCTCAACCAAAGTCAGAACCGGTACGCTGCTTGTGGTTGCTTCATCTTCCCCCGTATTTGTTTGCTTCATTTTTCCGGGGACCTGCATAAACGATTACTCGCTTTAAGCATAACGGCACGTTCTTGTGTTACGTATTTGTTTGTTCATTCAATATAAAACATAACTTATGCTGATATTTTTGTTTGACCGCCAATCGCCGCACTTTTCGCAGTACTGAATACCACCGACTGCGTTCCTGACGCCACCAAGAACACCTGTCACGAGGTTAGCAAGTTCAGCTCATTCACCATCATTCTACCTATCAGCTAGGAGTGAAAGAATCCTCGCTATTGTTGTGCAATACAATTCAATTAGGTCACAGCAAACAAACAACGAGTAAGATATAGCATGAGTATTACTATGCTTCTTTTTATCGTGTGAGTTGATGAGATCGTGGTTGGAGGGAAAGACTAATCAAGAAGTGGCGGAATTAAAAACACGACACGTACGCCTCCGGGGTCGGTTTTTCACCATGCCAACATGTATTTCCAACCAAATGTGTTCATCGTCTTTCGGACCCCAACCAGGCAGTAGAGTGGTTGCAACCGAAAATAGATTCCAAATGAGAGTCTTTGTTCTTCTCGCCAAATTCATTGATTGATCTCCCCTCTTCTTCCATCCAGACTCAGGTCGCTCAAACAACGCAAATTGCGGGAGCGGGTTCGGTCCATCCATTGGATTAGTGCGTGAATCAACGGTGCTGTGTTGCTTACTTGCTCTTCATGCACCATAGACAGGCCGCCGAATATGCTCGCTGTTTGTTTGGTGTTCTTAATAGATGTGAGCATAGATGCAACGGTGCCGGTAGTCGAACGTAACGAACTTCTTTACCTCCATCAATCTCATAAGCCAGATTCCCTAGTTCTTCGGGAGAGTTATACGGACGGTTTCATTGTAGACCATATCCTTCAAGATGAGTGATGTTGAACTGATGCCATAAGTGGCGAAGATCGGCAAAATCACCTTGAGTTTGTGCTATACGGTTCCCAATTTCATCTTCTATCCGAAGGTAACTGATAAAGCTACCCAGGTAGCTTAATTTCTGAACGACTTCTGACTGACTCCCATCATGGGTCAAAGCAGGGTGCAGCCCCTATTAATGTTGTCGATCTTTGCATTTGGATGTGCAGAACACCTCCCGAAACGAGGGCTGACCAATGCCAATCTACTCATTGCTGCTTGGCACGTTTGTGAGCTGTCACAATGATAATATCTTAGGCATACTCTATCTCAGAAAGTCCATCACCTTGGAGCAGGTCCACATCGGTTCTAGTTGTGGAGGATGAGAATGCTCAGGTAGGTCATCTGAACCCGTGATTTCATCGAAGTGGCTAGTATGGACTTAATCCCGAACGCACGGACTATGCCGAGCGTTTATCACATCTGTTCACTAACCATCGGTCGCTTCTTAGCAACGCCTTCAGATACAATGGGAACTGTGTCTTTGAGCGTTAACCATAGCTAGTCAGTTATGAACTCAAATGGCTCACATCGCCATAGGCTTCATGTTGCGTGGCTCCCTTTTTGAGTGCACCTCATCCTGAAACCCATGCATCGACTCCGCATGTATAATTACGCTGCGGGTTTTAAATTTAGCGAGAAAAACGTTCGGTTGACAACTGAGTAGTCTCAGCATTTGGCAAAGCAGGACCACCACGATGCCTTACATACCCGGCCTTCACCTGACTACTCCAAAGACGTCGATCCCGACGGAATAGTATATCGGATACCACGCACGATGTAGCTTCTACTTGCGACGCTGTCTATTGCCATCGCACTATTTGTTGTACACTCGATAGGTATTGGAATTGGTTGGAATCCAGGAAACATCTTATTGGCACCTGGCGCAGTGTAACTACACGGGGTCTTAGGCTCAAGCGGAAGTAGGTCCTACATGCTGGCAATGAAGCTTAGTGGATCCAAATAACTCGATGTGGAGGACGCAGATATTGCTGATTAATATCGCAGACTTCCATATTATCCGCACCACTGGTTTCAGGGACCCATGCGTCATTCCAACAGTCAGAGACAACATAGATGCATTGATTCATCATGATTGCAGTCTGGTTCATTAGGCAAAACACAGACTCACCTGTTGAGGTATTTACGGTGAGATGAGGCCATCCAAGCCAATTGGGGCGAAACGGCCACAGTGACTATGTACAAGGCGACAGTCTTACTGTCTACCTTAACCACTGTTATATCATCCTAACGTCAGTAGTGACTGCCATTTGCCTCATTTCTTGTCTCTCGTCTTATTGTGGAACAAGAATCCCAGATGAGGAATAAACAGATATGTTTCTGTGCGTGCTGGCTTTACAAATCATATTTTCACTGTGGCAAGTGCTAGAACACCGTCACGCTTACCGCAGGCCGATTACGGTGGTGCTTGTCAATTTTAAGTGTGCATTCGCATCACTCTATCGCTCCGTTTTGTTCGATATACCTACTCTGCATGGTGTCCCTATTAATCATTTGAACATGTTACGTACTCGAACACCACAAATTGCGTCATGGTCCTTCCAAATTTCCTTACATCTTCCCAGAAACATTTCCTCTCGGAACTGTTTTGGTGTCCATCCTATGGTCTTATCTTGCAAAATGTAGAAGTACAGGCATTTCAGTTCTATGTGGGGTAAACTTGCTGACTGAGTTGTGGAGGCGATATTCTACTTTTTGACAATGGGGAAGCAGAACAGTCAACCCCAGATCAACTGGAGTGATCCTATACTTTAATGTGCGCTTCGCACCTTCACATTGCGATTTGTTGTTGTGGAGCCACAAGTCGCTTGATAAGCGCATGCTTCTTGAAGATTAGGGATTGAGCAACTTAGCTATCTTGGCAACTGCATTGTCAATGATGAACGCGACTGTTCCACGCGTCACCAAAGCTTGAGTTGCATCATCGAGTATGCGGTGTTTATTGAACCATAAGAGTAATTATACCTTGAGGGCCGTTCTACTTTACGAGAGACTGCTTCTCCGCTCTACGGATCCTTGGTGTATTGAAGTCTGGTCATCGTCGAGTACGGATCATTGTTAGTAACAGCTAGTACCGGCTTGTCTGCAATGATGGGATATGTAGGCGAGTACTGGGTGGTGACAGATTGGTACTTTAGGTCAACAAATAACATTGAGTAAGTTACGTTGGCTTGGGCACGTGCTCTGTATGCTTGCCTGCCTCTTATCTAGAGAGCCTTAGTTGCCGAATGTAGAATGGCACAAGGCTCCAAGTGGATAAAGTTGACTTGCAGCCGAAAATGTAGTCCCTGTTACTAAACTAAGTGTTAATGGTCCATCTCACTTTCTAGACCGACCTCCCCTTGTGCTGCTCCCTAGACTTTACAGGACATGACTCACGGTGGCGCCAGTGGCGCTATTACTTCCACCCCCTAACCGAACTGCCTATACAAAATATGCATGAAGCTGTCAGCTGAAGGGTAAAATGGAGCAACAGAAATTGTGAGAAAGCCGTCTCGCCGATTTCCTTTTTTTCACACTATCCGACCGATTGTGACCATGTGTGGTTTACTAAGTGTAGGCGTCTTCCGAATCTTCCCTTGGACATTTATGTTTTACAGTAGGTCTGCTCTTATTATTCCTCATTCCCCAGTTCGTCATGGTTATACGGCAATGAGGCATCAGCTCAACTCAATAGTATGTTGCTATTTTTGTTGTTGTCTCTGAAAACGAAGGTGGTATTGACCTTTTTTACTCACAACTGACAGCCAGTTTTATCCCTACTTCTGACCTCTTAGGCTGTTGGAGTCCCTGCGGTTACTCGTCATAATGTCGCGCATCAACCAACGTACATCCTCGTCCCTGCTGGACACCTGTCGGGCACTCCTGATGGCCATATGTATGCATCTGCTGGTCAGATACGTGGGATTTCCTCAGGTATGCGGTGCCCGCAAACGCGACTTATTTTTCTTCAATGATCTTTCTCAACAAAGTTGTCGGTATCGTGTCTGTATCTGACAACCCAATCTATGTCGGTTTAAGTTTTGAATCATTCAGGCTGAATTCAACTACGTTTCCAATAATTCATACTGCATAAGTGGGTTCATTACGACTTGACAGTGTCGGGCACTCTTAAAAGCACCACAGGTAATTCTTGCAAGTATATCTAATTGAATCGGATCCTCTTATTTTTTGTACATTAGAAACAATATACCGTGCATTATTGGTTATGGCAATACCTACGAACCTAAGCACCTTACATCGGAATTTCCTTTATTAACTAAACTGTTCCAGTTATCCTCAATAGAACGAAATTGCCTCCTGTCACAACTGTTACGGCGTTCACGAACACAGGTTTAATTAGGGTGATGTTCTCCATTTATTATCACTTGTTGCAGCTACCTAGCTCTGCCACCATATCTTCGTACCATTTGAAGTCACTCGGTACCTTTAGCATTGCAAAATTATTAACACCCCTATTCACCGTATCTATGTTGCGGCAGTTTTGTCCCTTCTGTAACGGGCATTTTCTCTCATCACAAGTCGCAGAATTACGCTCCGTACTTCAGGCCGATCTGCTCACGTAGTTTGAGGCCAACTTTCCCCTTTTCGACCGCTAGCTTATCCGGATCTTGGTAACCACACCAAACCGTCTGTCACCACCAGATCTAGCTTTGGCGTGTGAATGTGATTAAACCATAGCGCGAGGGATGGACGAGCGCTATATTCACACAACCAACCAAATAAAACGAACTGTGCCTTTATTACCGAAGGGTACAAGCTCGCTAAGCTAACGGGCACCTAAAAAACGCTAGTTAGAGAGAGGAAAGATTGCTCCTGGAGCGAAAGGCGGCAGCGTTCCGGTTGTGTATGTTTATAAAAAAAGTGGTCAACATGCAGCGAACAAGATGCCTAATTTTTCTGGGTACCAATGAAAATGAAAATATTTTGCATCTCAGACAGAAATCTCCAAGTCGCTACAAGCGTCCTATAACAGCGTGGTTACGTAATTATCGTGTATGTTGATTCGTATGATTACGTGAGCGGTGCTAGGCGGCAGTTTCTAGCTGTCCCCGATGAATTATGGCGAACTGGTCGGACCAGCTTGGCCTCAGCTTTTTCCTGGGTGATTCGGTATCAGTCGTTGAGTGTTGTCCTCAAAACGTAACCATTGGCTGCAAACCTAACCCGATTGATTTGACCACCTGTGTCACGATTTGTTTGACAGTAAGTACGATACCTTTTGATGGTTGATTTGTCATCTGCCGCCTCGAATCGGACAGTTCCTGGCCGAAAAGATCTGAATCCGGCGGAATTCATCTACGACAAACATTGACTGCACACTTACCGCATACTATACTCGATAAACGTGTACGGGACGTTCCAGACCTGTGGTTTCACGCCGCCCTTTCTGATAGCCCCCCCCCCCAAATAACTCGACAGTTACTGGTCTGGCTCAGCCTTCCAATGTCTTACGGATCCTTTTATAGAATCAAATTTTCTGGAAAACGTTCCTCCGTCATGGCTTTCCCTGTGGAACATTAGTGTCTTCGAGTCGAATTCTCGGAATGAGCTGTCTGTTCATAAGACACCTTCAATGTTGTTTTCTTTCTTTACTTCACCATCGATAATTTCTTTAGCAGTTACCGGCAGTTATAGGCGCCTCTAGATGTGTTACTTCTTCTAGTTGTGCACCTAAATCAATTTGCAAACCAAGGCTCTTACTTGACTTAGGCTCCTTCAGCCTTTTGTGCTCATTGCCAAGTCGGCCAACGGGTACCGTCAGTCTTTTATGTGGAGTTTGAGTGATGGTTGTCTCGGGAGGGCGCATGCGTGGTCGCGATGTGGCTAAAAGACTTCTACTACCCGGTTCGCATTTCAGTGGTAGCGTATTTGTTTATATACCCAGGGATGCTGATTCACTAGCCAGAGCTATTTGCGATGTTGTTGTCGCAAAGCAGAAGCACTGGGAGCAGCCTTACGAGGCGAATCTCAGCGTATGGCTGCATGTGCACTTTTTGGTATCAAAGCACCACTAATGCGTCGACCATTGAGGCGGTGGTAAAATGTCATCCGAACGTGTTAGAATTCGGACCTTTGCGTGCTGCGCTCAGAGGATGGGTAATAACATCCATAGAAATCCGAAGTCCAGTTACTTAAATGCAACTATTCACCTGGACCCACACTAATTGCTTACCTTCAGCATTTCCACTGAGAGGGGTGTCGACACCTTAGTTGCCTCAATCCACTGGCCTATTATAACAGAGAAGCCAAGAATTTTACTCTAGGCGCAGATTCTAGCCAAGCAATTAAAGATTCAATACAACGCCATTGTCTTGTACGCGTGTTTTGGAAGCTCGGCACACGTCAGTTCCCCGAAGTGGGAATTAGTGTTGCACGTTGGCAAATCTGAACCAGAGTCTGAACGCTGCTAGATCTAATGAAAAAATGGATCAGTGGGTTAAATGATGGGTTGGATAAATCGCTCGCACTAATAGTCGCTTACCCGTTAATCTGTTGGAGATTTGTGAATCATGGGGAACACGCAGAGAAATTAGGAGGGCTGGTGACGTTACCTTGGTGATTGGTGCTACATTCCTGTCCGTTTAGATAGTTTTGTTTCAGGTGTGATTTCCCAATAACTTGGTAACATTGCTGTGTTCTGGGTGTTTCTTTGAAGGACTTCCTCCGGACCTATGTACTCAACCAGCCGGATTGTCTGCTAGTGAGGGCGGATCCATCTGAGTAGGGCGTGGTCACAAAGGGAAAGTAAGATCTGAGCGAAGCCTACTAAACGTACTCTTGAGAGTGTAGGTAAATCTGTGCATCTCTTTTACCTTGTTATGTGGTGAATCCTCAATTCTGATTAATCATAAGCGCATCTTGGGAATTGCACACTTCCTCCGGGACCTGCTTAATATTAGGGGAATAGCCAAACCGTGATTAAGCTATGCTCCTTAGCTAACCCAGACGACCCATGCTGCTCGTGCTATAAAATAATTAGAAGAAATCGCACCCAGTGTGTTATATAAGCCGAATCAACAACAGCAGTACATCCGTCATTTGAACTTATGCTTCGCTGTCATACTACCACAATGACCTTTGGCAATAAAGAATAATGAGAGGGAGAGAAGAGGGACTTACCTGAAAACCTTAATGCCCTAAGCAAACATTCAGGGTCAAGGCGCCTACACCTTGTGTAGACAACAAACCGTCACAAACAGCTGACTATCGTGCAAAGATAAGGCGGCATCGGCGAATCAGCTTCCTTGCGGCTTTTACTGCCACGCGTCATAATCAGCCATTACCCCGCAGATAACTCAGCACCAAACACACTTTAAACAGGCAGTCCGATTAAGAGACGGCAGCATACGCGCCCCTGGTGTCGGTTGCGAGCCATGCCCTGTCAAGTCTTGAGCCAAGTACAAAGCGAGTCACGTGGACTCCAGTTCGGAAGACGAGACGGACCAATGGCACCCATTTTGGTTGTCAGTGACTTCATTTCCCGCTACCAAGTCAACTTCTGTCCACCTCGAGCTTTGCGCCACCCTACACCTGGCAGACTAAACAAAATCTTCTTAGGTAAGCGATGACCAGGCATACGTAGCACGTGCCAAAGCCAACGCAACTTATTCAATCACATCATCATCACCAACAGCAGTACATCAGCCATTTGAACTGATGCTTCGCTGTCATACTACCACAATGACCTTTGGCAATAAAGAATAATGAGAGGGAGAGAAGAGGGACTTACCTGAAAACCTTAATGCCCTAAGCAAACATTCAGGGTCAAGGCGCCTACACCTTGTGTAGACAACAAACCGTCACAAACAGCTGACTATCGTGCAAAGATAAGGCGGCATCGGCGAATCAGCTTCCTTGCGGCTTCTACTGCCACGCGTCATAATCAGCCATTACCCCGCAGATTACTCAGCACCAAACACACTTTAAACAGACAATCCGATTAAGAGACGGCAGCAGACGCGCCACTGTTGTCGGTTGCGAGCCATGTCCTGTCAAGTCTTGAGCCAAGTACAAGGTGAGTCACGTGGACTCCAGTTCGGAAGGCGACACGGACCAACGGCACCCATTTTGGTTGTCAGTGACTTCATTTCCCGCTACCAAGTCAACTTCTGTCCACCTCGAGCCTTGCGCCATCTTACACCTGGTAGACTGAACAAGGCCCTCCTAGGTAAGCGGTGACCAGGCATACGTAGCACGTGCCCGAGCCAACGCAACTTATTCAGTGCTAACAGATAGCATTGAAACTTATTCAATGCTATCTGTTGTTCTAGGGAGCTAGCATGTTTATCACTATCCAGTACTCGCCTACGCACATCATCGTTGCGGACACGCCGGTGCCAACCGACACCGGCAATGCTTCACAGACAACGATGATCAAAGACTTGAAGGCACCTCAGATCTTCAGACCGAAAGGGCCAGGTCTCACTCCCATATAGCAGAACGGCCCTCACTGTGGCCTTGTATACACGGCCTTTCAGACGAAGCGAAACTCCCTTCTGTCGCCAAAGATGCCGCAGGTTCAATAACGCAGCTCTGGTCTTTGCAATGCGTGAGCTGACGTCATTTTCTATGCGCCCATCGTTGCTGATGCAGCTGCCAAGATAAGTGAACTGATCAACCACCTTCCTCCTTAGCAAGGGTCAAGGGGTCCTAAAATGGCTCGTGGTCCTGCAGCAACACTTTGCAATTTGAAGGTGCATAGCGTATGCCAAATAATGGGACCACCCTAGACAGGCTATCCAGGGTTGATTGTGCCGCCGCAACATCGTCGAAAAGCAAGACGATATCGTCCGCATAATCAAGAACAACTAGTCTTTCACCAGGCAGCATTTCAGCGCCTACATCGTGAGATTCCGCAAGGGAACACATCATGATAGAATGCACGACGAAAGTGAACAGAAATGGAGAAATCGGACAACCCTGACGAACGCCACTTGTGGTCGGCAAGCTATCC